ATATATGTAACACTGAAAAAATATTTCAATATTAATTAGTAAGAAAGTATTTAGTGGCATTTGTAGGGGAAATTTAAAAAAAAAGGCAAGATAGTGATTGTGGCAGTGTGATTGAAGTTCAGTCTTTTTGTAGATGCATGTTCAAAAGTGGTGGGGCTTTTCTGCCTTCTGCACAGAGGTGGATTTATAAACTGTACAGATGCAGATAGATAACAAGACGTCCATAACAAATAACATTTATTGGTTCATTAGATATCCTCATAACTCACATTTGTGACGAAGTTCTTCTTTAATGACCAATCTTTTGTCTATCTGCCTTGTAGTAAAAGATGGTTATCTCTTAACCCATCGCATAGTGATAGAAAGAAGCTGCCATGAGTTCATGAGTTCAGGCAAGAATGAGGAAAATTCCCCCGACCCCGCGAGGGTCAATTTAGTGACCAATCAGGATTACAGATGTGGTCACGTGATATGGACTACATTTCCCAGGATACCTTTAACTACATTTACCATGATGCGTTCCCTTAAGGGGACAGCTCATAATTCCTAAGTAACTATCCAATTCCCATGGACTGACTGGGACAGCACACTCCCCGCCTGGAACTGTAAATTCCACTATTAAAGGAAGAGAAAAAATTAACTAAAAACTAAGATAAGTAGTAGACAGTAATACTAACTGAATAGCAGATAACTATATAACTAAGATAAACAGTTAGCATTAATAAAGCATCAAACAAAGCAAAGCATGCAAAGCTTGAGGTTCAAACTTCAAGTTCAGTCTCTTGGTGCAAATCTGCTGGTCACCTCTGGCGGCCTTTTAGGGTGTTCAGGTACTCTTGGAGGCAAAGGTGAAAGTCTGGTGGTCACTTCTGGCAGCCTTTTAGGGTTGGTACCAATCGTGAAAGTCTGGAGGTTGCTTCTGGCGGCCTTTCAGGGTTGGAACAGTACTCTTGCTTCCACGGTGTCAAAGGGCGTTCGGAAGCTGTTGGAAAGGGTGTTGCGGAGGCATATGCCCATGTAGAGCGTCTTAGTGGACGTCTGGTGGTTGTTGTTGGCCGTTTAGGGTGTCCTAGCAAAATTGTACTGATTGCCATAATCACCAACTCAACTTTTTTGAACCTTCCCACCTACCATCCATCCCCCCAGTTCAACAGAAAGTTTTCTACATTGGATTAAACAATTACCCACAGATGATCCAATGACTCCTGTTTGCTACAATGGCCAACTAGACATTTATGCCATCCCACAAATAGGATATGAGCCCAATTGTGCAGAGTTGCTCTTGTTCCTTTGATCATAGAAGTAAAGTTAGTATCATTCTGAATATTTCCCACTATGCTTCCTATTTTTATTCTTTTTAAAACTATCTGAATTGGCGATTATAATTTCTGATGGGTATGATGATTATAATTCTGATAATGTGATCAGACACAATGGACAAAGAGAAGAACTAGAGGTGACATGAGGTATATTTGAGAGGCTGTCGCAAAGAGGAAGACAAAGCACCCGAGGTCAAGACAAGAAGTAACAAATTGAAACTTATCAAAGAGAAATCCAATCAAAAATTAAGAAATTTCCTTGTCAATGAGAACAGTTAATCAGTGGAATGGCTTGCCTTCAGAAGTTGTGGATGCTCAAACATTGGAAGATTTTAAGAAGAAATTGGACAGCCACTTGTCCAGAACAATATAGGATCTCCAGCAGGGGGTTGGAATAGATCTCAAGGTCCCTTCCAACTATTATTCTGTATGCAAAAAATTAAGCTATCGCAGAAACAGAAGAAATAAAGGCCTTTAAATTCCATCAAAATTGAAATGACCAATGGAGAATTAACTTGTGTTCTAAGAATGTCAGCAGGTTGTAAACATTATTAGATTTCACTCAGCTGAAGCTAACATACTTCCAAGGCAAGTCAATTGATGAAGATGATGATGATAATTTGCAAGAATGGTATTTTCCAATGATCCTCACAGGACATAGGATATGTACATTAGTGTTTCCCAGCATCAGCAATTTTAAGATGTATGGATTTCACTCTCAGGATTCCTCAGCCAGTATCTTAAAGTGGTTAAAATTGAGAAATATTGATGTAAAAGATTAGGATTTATTAGGATTTGCTTGGCTTATAATTTACTATATTAATGAACTTTAGTGTGAGATATTTAATAAGAAGTCATCACATTTCCATTCAGGCTGTCTAGTCAACATATATACAAATCGTCTTTGACTTTGAATCGTCTTTGACTTATATTTGAGGCCACAATTTTGGTTGTAAGTCATGACTGTCGTAAAGCAGGTTATCAGGTGACCATGTTGATTTCATGATCTTTTTTTGCAGCAGTTGTTAAGCAAATGAAACTGGAAGTAAATGCCAGTTTCCAGCAAAAATGTCACAAATTGCAATCACACTGCACAAGGCCGTAAAGCTGGGTTGAATGCTGAGCACCCAAAATGCGGTCATGTGATCACGGAGGAGAGAAAGGACATTGGAACATTGAATCCAGGTTGTAAGTTCATTTTGGGGAGTCTGTTGTAATTTCAAATGATTGCTAAGCAACCAGTCATAAGTCAAGGACTACCTGCATTCTCGCAGAATGAAATTTGGGTGAGCATTTCAGGCCTGAAACATCAGGAAAGAGTATGTGATAAAAGTAGAATAGTAATTGACATACTATCCTCAGCTGAGATAACCTTTTTTTTTCTTCAAAAAAATAAATACACGAGTAAATACCTGGAACCATTTTACAAATAAAAGAATTTTTAATTTTAATACAGGCAAACTGTATCTCAGGTACACATTACATATGCATTTCTTTCTATCTGTAATGAGACTGGAGGAACACCTCAACTGAAAGTGCAAATGCAACTTCTTACATGGAAATTGTAAATAAGTGGCAAATGTTGAGTGCCTCCCACTCAACCTTGAATCCTGACAACTGCCTGGACAAATAATCCCTTACCAAGATTTCTTGGTAAGATTTTGAAAGTTTCAATCAATCAATTTTTATTACCGTCACAGACCACATTGGAAGTAGTTTACAATTGTTTTCTTCTTCCTAAGGTGGTCGTGGGGGGAAGAGACTGCCCAAGGTCACTCTGCTGTTTTTGTGCCTAGGGCAGGTTTAGAATTCATAATCTCATGGTTTCTAATGCTTAAGTTTAACCACTAATCCGAAGTGACCTTCCTTGGCTTTGTGCCTATTTTGTAAATGTATATGTTGTAAGTCAGTTCCATAAGCGCCACTGAAACATTTTCAAGCAGCTTTCTGTATAATATTGTATAAAACTGAGCTAGTTATGACATTATGTTTCTCAATGACTCTTTGTCAACTGGGAAAACAATTGAGGGTTATGTGAAGTTATTTTCTGTTGTAACTTATTTAAAAATTATGTATACAGAGGGCAGAGGTGGTATTCAGCAGGTTCTGACCAGTTCTGGAGAACCGGTAGCAGAAATTTTGAACAGTTTGGAGAACCGGCAACCACCTCTGACTGGCCCCACCCTCATCTATTCTCTGCCTCCCGAGTCTCAGCAATTGGCTGGGTCTTCTTTGGTTGCCCTGCACAGGAGAATGGAGCTGGAAAGCAGGTTAATGGGGTGGGGAAGGAATGGAGATTTTACAGTATCCTTCCCCTGCCATGCCCACCAAGCCACGCCCACCAAGCCATGCCCACAGAACCAGTAGTAAAAATGTTTGAATCCCACCACTGACAGAGGGATCCCAAAGGTGCTTTTTCAAGAGGCAACTGGACTTTCTGGATTTTCTTTTAAGACGTTTCGCTTCTCATCAAGAACCACGACCTGGATGACTGAGAATCTCCATATACATATTGTGCTGGTCAGACAGTATATAGTTAATTGATAGTTAGTTGGTAGTGGAATTTATAATTCCAGGCGGGGAGTGTGCTGGTCAGACAATATATAGTTAATTGGGAATTGAGAGCTGTCCCCTTAAGGGAATGCCTCATGGTAAATGTAGTCAATGCCTCATGGGAAATGTAGTTCATGTCATGTGGTCACATCTGTAATCCTGATTGGTCACTGAATTGACCCTTGGTTGGGTTGGGGGAGTTTCCTTTATTCTTGCTTGGACCCCAGCATAGTGCTGGTGTCTTCCCTTTGCTCCATCGTCATGGAATGAAGATAACTATATTTTCACACTATGAAGACAACTATGCAAAGATTGGACATTAGATGAATCTCAACATAACTGCGAGTTATACCTATTACAATCCAATAAAGAAACTTTGTACGGAAGCCTTTGTAGAGTTTATCTAACTGTCTTTATATTCAGCCAGGAAAGTTACAGACAGAACACATATACATAGAGATGCTCATTCAATCTGCAGTTGTCTTCCAAACTTGAGAACAGAGCAGCCAAGACGTTAAGAACAGGATTAATGTTCAGAAGGGCCCAAAATGAATAAACAGAACGATACCCGTGCATTGCAATGTACACTATAGGTGACACCTGAATTTACAGCCACATAGGAGTCCTGTGGCAGTAACCAGAAGAGCAAAGACAAAATTATGCCAGTGTATGAGGTGGCATAACTAATGCTTCCGTTTGCCCATCCCGTTAAACCACAAACACAAAATGGCTTGGGTCAGTGTTGTCACAGAACAACACGGTCCCAAAGGTTGAGTGATTATTTAAGTACTTTCCCAGAAGGGAAAGTGCTCGGCGGTCACGCTTTCCTAATTTCAAGCAGCCTTGAGAACCATCCCGCACCCCTCCCCCCTCCCCACCCACCCCCAGCCGGCGGCGGCGGCGGCGGCTGTAAGAACGGGGCGACTCCCTTTTCCCGGCTACCGGCGAGTTCTCGCCACAGGAGAAGCGCTCGCCAAGCTTCCGGCGCTCCGGCCTCTGAGAGGCTGCCGGGCCGGGTGACGCACGGGCAGAGGTGCCCAATGAAAGAAGCGCGCCGTGCCCGGGACCGAAACCAGGCGATGTATAAAGTGAGGCGCGCCGCCTGCAAAGAAGGAGCCGGAGGGTGGAGCGCGTTGCGAGGGTCTCTGTGGGGGCGCCGGCGGCCTTTCCTCCCACACACACACTTTCCTGCTTGTCAGAGGGGAAGATTTTTGGCCGCGAACTGCGCGGCAGACACGGAGATCGGCCGGTGCATTTAGACGCGCTTATTTTTTTTTAGTTACCGGTTCCCACTTCGGCCACGGGACCCGGCGAGTGGGGCCAGACGTTTCCTTTGACTCCAGGCTGGGCGCACGTGCTGCCAGGAAACGCCCCTCCACACGCTAAGCCTCTCCCTATTGCGCGTATAGTTTTTGGGGGGAGTAGGTGACCGACCCCCGACCCCACTTTCAGCTTCTCGGCAGGGTCCGCATCCGGTCTCTGCTCCCTTTCCAGCGTTCCCGGGAATCTCTTGAGGAGCACCGGCTCTCCAGGGCTGGGCGCACGCCTTGACCAAATGGAGAAGAGGAAGCCGCGGGCCGCGGTGGATCAGCCTGTGCGAACCGCCAGCTGCAATGGGTACGCGCTGGCCGAGAAGCAGCCTCCCCTTCAGCGGAGTCGCTCGGGGGAAGCGCCGTCCCGTAGCTGGAAGACCGCGGCTGGCGGGCATCCCTTAGAGAGCTGGAAGGAAGAGCGGACCCGCAGCGAAGAGGACAACGAAATGAACTTGCCCGGCCTGGCCGCCGCTTACACCACCATCCTGAGTGCCCTGGGCGAAGACCCGCAGCGCCAGGGGCTGCTCAAGACGCCCTGGAGGGCGGCCACGGCCATGCAGTACTTCACCAAAGGCTATCAGGAGACCATTACAGGTGGGACGCGACCCGTGGTTCTATAAATAGGGAATAGGGAATCTTTACAACAGTCCTTTGGGGTAGGCCAGTTTATTACAGCTACCCGGGATGAGCTGGTGTTAACAGTGGGGTTCAAATGAATGATCACAGTTTCTGGAGCCCCGCTTACATATAAAGTAGACATAGTGTTAGGAAGTTTTCACAACTTTGCTTGTAAGGCAGGCAGCACCTACAGTTTGTCTATGGGAAATCATGGATGTGAGAGAAGTGAGAATCAAAGTTTGGAGTAGTCAGAGGCTTGTTGGAGGCTGGTGCACCCAGCTTCAGATTTAACAGGTAATCAAAGTTGGAAGGGACCTTCTAGGTCATCTCACTGTCAGAAAGTTTCTCCTTATTTCCAGGTTAAATCTCTCCTTGTTCAGTTTCCATTCATTATTCCTTGTCTGGCGTTTTAGAAAATAGCTTGACCCCTTCCTCCCTGTGGCAGCCCCTCAAATATTGGAAGACTGCTATCATGTCTCCCCTGATCCTTCTCTTTACTAGACTAGCCAAGCCCACTTCCTGCAACAGTTTGTTGTATGTTTTAGTCTCCAATCCCCTAATCATCCTGGTTGTTCTTCTCTGTACTTTTCCAGAGTCTCAACATCTTTTTTATAATGTGGTGAAAAAAACTGGATGCAGTACTCTAGGTGTGGTCTTACTAAGGCTTTATAGAGTGGTATTAGTACTTCCCTTGATCTTGGTTGTATCCCTCTGTTAATACAATTTAGGATTGCATTAGCTTTTTTGGCTGCTGCTGCCCACTGCTGGCTCATATTTAGCTGGTTGTCCACTAAGACTCCAAGATCCCTCTCACAGTTACTGCTATTGAGCCTGGTTTCACCCAATCTATATGTGTACTTTTGGTTTTTCTTGCCTAAGTGTAGGACTTTACTTTTCTCTACATTGAATTTCATTTGGTTAGATATGGCCCAGTGTTCTAGTCTGTCAAGATCCATCTGGATTTTGAACCTAATGTTCCTTCCAGTGAAATTGGCATGAAAAGAACACTGGCTTCCTTCCAGTGAAATTGGCATGAAAAGAAAAAAAAGTGTTCCTTTTGGTCTAGAATGGCCTTTTAACTTTTTGGTAGTCTTTTACAAAGCTGAAAGAGGTGGGGCCATGCCAGCAGGATGCTTTTGCCCAATTGCTTCATAAATGATAGTTAACGGTGCTGGATTAGGAACAGGCAGACAAGCTAGAATTCTCATCCTCTGAGAAAGCCAGCTGAGTGATTTTTGGCTGGTTATTTGCTCTAAACTGGAAAATTAAGAAATATTGGGACTTTCACATAGCAAATCCCTTCTGAAAATCTTGCCAAGAAAACTACATGGACTTGCCCATGTAATCACTAGGTGTCAACATTAACTCTAACCAACAACAAGGGTGGAGGATCCGTTCCCTCAGTTGCATAAGGCTGCCTCTGCTTTTCATAATGTTGACCAATACAGGATTGGATTGAAGGCCTGGGTTGCATTTTGCCCTAATCCAAAATGTAGTTTCCTTGTTTATGGTTTAGCACTGAATGATCTGGGACCCTGTGATATGCAAATCATTGTTCAGTGGTTAGCATGTTGCATAGGGGGAAGAAATATTATGTATGTTTGCCACCTTGAATTACTTATGAAGTTATAAAGGTGGGATAAAAATCAAATAAATAAACTATGCTTTGACAATTAAACATGATTAAACAAATAACATGGCTTACTGCCTAGTACAAACATAGCCAAAGCATTCATAATTGTATACTTTACAAAAATAGCATTAATGCTTTCAAATATACTGAGATGATGGAAGTCATAGTCCAGTACAACAGAAGGAATATCAGCTGTAGAAAAGCATTCATTAGCATCTCCAATTACTCTAATTATTTCCCTTTCTCTCACAGCACTCAGATTTAAATTTAGGTCTAGATTTAGATCCTGTCTTTCCTGCAGGAATGGACAATGTCTGATATATTCGTATTTTCTCTGCACAAAAGCAACCTGATGAAGTTAGGTTGGGCCTATTCTTTTCTCAACTCAGCCAGCCCGTGAGTTTCCATGACTGAGGGTCAACCTGAATCTGCATCACTTTGGTCTTAGGCCAATAGCTTAATCACTCCACCAAACTGCCTCCTTGAGAATGAAACAAAAGTCCTGGTAGCTTAGCAGATAGGACTTTTCATATTTAGTGAACAGACATTAGGTCTCAAACTCTTTTCTATGTGACCGGAGGCAAGGAATTTATGTTCTGAGCTAAAATTTCAATCAGTCTAATAGTTACAATATATCCAGGCCCTAGGAAAAGGAATCTGTCATCTGTTCTAGTTTTTCTCAGTTTTAGCAACTTTATGATTTGTAGACTTCAACTCCCAAAATTCCCCAGCCAACCTATTAGGTTGACAAGATTAACCTCCCTCTCTCATAACCAACAGTTTTGAGGTAGAAACCCTAAAGAAAATTTCTCAACATGCTACTATCACTTTCACTACTGATTAATTGCAGTGCAAGGTTCCTTCCAACTCTGATTATCTGTGATTTGCATAGTGATATAAAGGGCTGGAAAATCACAAATCAAAGGCTTTTTCCTTGGCTTTGTTATCTCTGTCTCAATCATGTTCACAATCCTTGTCGGAGAGTAGGGACACAACATTAACTCTACATAAAGGATTGCAATTGATGTATCCAGATCAAGATTGACTGCCTTAGTTCAAACATGGACTTCGTGCTACTGATTTGGTTTTTGAATATGGTGTTTTTCCATAGAAAAGCATGACTGAGTATTTTTAACTCCCATGTAATTAACATACCAATAAAACGAGAACGGGATGGTAGTTTCTGTCCAGCAGTTCCTGTAATCAGAAGCTGTTGAAGATATAAAAAATGAGCAAGACGTTTTTGCAAAATTATGGAGCTTTACCAGGTTGAGATCATTTAGAACTTTCCCAGCTGTATCTTTATGTTGCTAACTTCTCACAATTGCTTTGTAGGAACAGTGTGAGGATAGCTTTTCCCATTCTGCAGTCCAGGGTCACTGGGCTACAGCCTCCATCACATCCAGCCACTGAGATTTGGTTCACAGGAATTGTGGGAGTTGCAGTTCAACAGGCCTGGAAGGATGGTTTCATTCCAATTTAATCTACATTTTCTTTAAAGTTCATATGCAGTAGCTGGTACAGTAGTGTGTCTTGTGTAGCACTGCATTTTTGTGCAGCATTTAAGATTACTAAATTTTTATTCAAGCACTATAGCAATAATATGAAGATAAATATGGGAATCTATTGGAGTGGCTGACCATCATAAATTTAATAAAATAAATAAATAAATCGGCAATCTGAGGCGGAATGAAGTGACTATGGACATCACTTCCTTAGAGCCAATATTCCCATGTGCTACCTTCACGTGTGTTTAATAAACTTCTGTCATCTCAGCCAGAATAAGGAAAATAGGGATTATCTGGTGGATACCAAGTTTGGAAAGATTTGCTAAAGTCAGGAAATTTTTAAGAAGCCAAATGATCTTAATTGCAACTTTCTCATTTTTTATTATGCAGTTTTCTGAACTTTATGGGGTGGCAGACTGAGGGTCATTCTGATATATTCCATTTGCAATTTTTATACATAATTGTGGCTTCTTTTTTCCTTACTGAAAAGGAATATAGTTAAAGCGACAAAAGTGGAAATCCTATGAAATACTCGATAGCATTTTCATATTTGGGCTGAAAATACCTGAATGACATATAGATGACAACAAAAAGTTAGTCTTCTGGATCTCTTTGCCTCTAAATAGTGATTATAAAAAGTTTTTTATAGAACAGGTTTACTAGCCCTAACATCAATTGCCATCTCTCTTAAAAAGAGCCTATGATATTCAGAAAGTCAATATACTGGTATCTAACAGCGGATCATCCTCTTCTCTTTTCTTCCATCTTTCTCACCATTATGGACTTCTCAATGTATCCAAAATATGAGTTTTTGAGCCTGGTCATTTGTATCCCAAGTGATAACTCTGGATTAATTTATTCTATAAAACATGTTTTTGTTTTGTTTTATTGGACTACCAAGAGTCTTCGCCCAACACCAAGGCTCAGAAGTGACAGTACTCTATCCCTTTTCTTCAAAGTCTAACTTATTTGATGTGTCTCTCTGCTAATTTACTGTTCTTCTCTGAAGGGAAGATGACCCTGCATTTATTAACCACCCCAAGAAAATTTAACAAAATACAATTAAAAAATTGTGCAATATGTTGCTTCCATGCCCTGTCCATCTAATCCAATTCTAACTTAAACTAATCCTGTAGAACCTTTTTCATCCCCTATATGTCCATGTATGTATTTTGTTTTAAAAATATTCAGAAAGAAAAAAAGGAAATATAAAACATAACAAAATTGCTAGATCTAAGGGGAAAAAGAAAGCATTAAATTATAAATTATGCAATAGCACTTAGAATTATATACTGCTTCACGGTGCTAAGTGGTTTACAGCATACTACAAAACAACGAGTAAAACCTAGCCAATAAGAAATACATTCGTCAACCATATTAAAGAGTATTAGTCAGATTTTCCCTTCCATTGATATGAAACAACTAAGAAAAGTAAGCAAATATTTCCATGATTTAACTTTGGGTTCAAGGTAAAGCCATTTTTGGAGTGGCAGTCCTTATACAATAAATCCAGAGTTCTTTATACATAATTAAATTCCACATTTTTTATATATATTTCAACATGACATTAACTTTTTCAACCTTATTTCTTTTTCCAATTTCATATGAACTTATCCGCACATATTTAACAGATAATCAGAGTTGGAAGGGACCTTGTAGGTCATTAGTCCAACCCCCCGCCCAAGCGGGAGACCCTACACCATTTCTGACAAATGGCAGTCCAATCTCTTCTTGAAAGTCTCAAATGATGACGCTCCCACAACTTCCGAGGGCAAGCTGTTCCATTGGTTGATTGTTCTCACTGTCAGAAAGTTTCTCCTTATTTCCAGGTTAAA